TTTTATATAAAATATACTTATATAACAAGTTTATAAAATTAATAATAGGGATGTGGTGACCTAGTGAAGTGGTCAGGTTGTCAACTTCCCAAGTAGTAGGTTGGATATTTAAATCCTATTGATAGCAAAAATTTGAATAATCACCTATGTAATATTTATATTATGGCAACTGTTACTAACAATTAGGTTAGGATACCTGTAATAGTAGTTACACCAGTATAACTGGCAGGTTATAGGGCATCTGTGTAAGTATAATATTATACTAAGAAATGCAAACTGATAAATTGGACAGTGCAAACACTAGATAAGTTCTTGTGGCTATATAAATCTGTTGAAATTGGGTAACAAGAAGTTTATTTAGAAAAACTTAAGTAGAGAGGTAGCTGGATCTTTGATGGCTCTACTGTAAAGGCTAGCCTGGGAAAACAGATACCAAGGTCATAGTTCCTGATCATAGTAGTTGGACAAGCAAGAACCTTTGAATTGAGATACTACCAACTAGGTCACTGGAAAGAACTGAAAAATAAGGATATCGGACTAACCCAATATACTGATAGACTAATCATAATCTTACACAGGCTATTTGGATTAGAAGTTTGGTAAAAAGGCAGATAAAAAGGCAGAAAATTCTATTGGGTTGTGTTCATAACTATTAATAACAAAGGTTTTTAGGTTTTAGTCTTGGGTTCAAAACTACTAATATATTAAAGTACTGGAGTTATACTGTAAAATAGATGCTGAGATCTAAGTAAACTCTACAAAGGCATAGTAGTTTAATGGTTAGCCCTAACTACAAGTATTGGTTCTGCTATAGCAATACCTAGATCAACTGTAAAAATGAATACAGAAGACTCTAAAAAGTTTATCTTAAGGATAAATTAGTTTTAAGGTTGAGATAATGATCTGGATATTTGAGTATGACCCAGTGATGTTAATACAGATTACAGGTTCAGAGGCTTTAAAGTGAAACATTTAAGCAGAGGTGTTAGGTATGGCAATTAGTGAAGAACCTTTAGGCAGACTTTTTAAATAGGTAATATAAAAAGTTAAATGTATAGTCAATTGTATGCTCTTCTGTAGTGATTCAGTAAACTATAATATCGATAAGTGATTAATAAAAATCAAAAGACCAAAGAGATCACCTTAAAAAAAAAAATTTAATAATTAATTTATTTTTAAATAATATAAATATAAAATATATATTAAGAGGTTTTTTATTATATATATATAAATATAAATAAAATTAATTTTACTATATAAAATTACTAACTTTTTATATAGTAAACTAATTTAAATAGGTAATTTTCTCTTTATTATATTTTTTTTTACATAATAATCATAGTTAAAATTTTGCAGGTTTATGCATAAAAGTTATACCAAGGTACTTGTATAGTAATACAAAAAATACTCAATTGTGATTGGTTAATTTAGAAATATATCAAAAAATTTTAATTTTTTAAATTTTTTTTAACAAATTAATCAACTTTGAGATTTTTTTAAACAATATGTAATCAAAAATTAATTTAATTTTTTTTTATAAATATATTCTATATATCTTCAAATATTAAATATATTTATTTAATTGCAAGTTAATATGTAAAATTTTGTGTAATTGTATTTTAAATCAAATATATTAAGTTAATGTATTATGCTTAATAAGATGACTAATAATTATGATTTATAATACAATAATATAAAGTTAATAAGTATTTATAAGCAAATGAAAATAATAAGTGCTTTTTTAATTAATCAAATAAAATAAATACACATGTCATTAAAGTAATCTATTATAAGATAAAGATAGTTTTTACTACTAGATAACAATAATATAGTAAAAGATAATCTTTTTTAATAAATAAAACTTATATTTAAAATTAAAATTTATTAAATGGTGTACTATATAGCATGCTATGTGTTAAAAAATACCAATAACATGCCATTAAGAAATTTTTGTGCTAACAACTCTAATTATAAGATGTTCTTTCTGTAACTAAGAAAAAAAGTAAATGAAAAATAAAAAATAAAGATAATTTTTGTATTTTACAAAAGAAAAAACATATAGCAAAAGTTAAACCAGTTCTGGCCAGGTTAAACAATAATAACTATCACCAGTATCCACCAACTTGTCTAATGACCGCACAAAATTTGGTGGCCTACCTTTGCAAGTAGAAAGCTCACTGCTTGATGGCAAAATGAAATCTTCCTGCTTGCACTTCTGTTTACTGATCACCTGATAGTTAAACCAGCAGACAGAGTTGCACTGTGGGAGTCACTGTCTGATGATAGGATGATAACTTCCCTTTCGCACTTCTAGCATCATCTACTGTCTAATGACCAGCATGGGTGACAATTTTGCAAAAGGTTAAGTAAGCGATTAACATTTTGTTTTAATCTTCCTGATTATGTAACATTACATTAAAACGAGGATTATTATCACGTGAAAGTGAAAATTTGATGGTAGTTAAGGTATATAAATGATCAACGCGTCGCGATTTTTGTTAATCATTTTATTTTCATCAGAATAAATTGACTCACTATGTCTAAAGTAAATTATATGGTCTACGAACCCTCAGATGCTTTGCTATCCTCAGACCTTTTATCACCTTCAATGATTATACAATTTTCAGATGCTACAAATACTTTATTATCTAAAACCTCACCACAAACTCCTCAAGAATTAGAACATTTATTAAATACACCAAACAAGCATTCAATAAAGAATAAAGAACTTTGGGAGTAAGTTTCTGCTTGTTGTGTTGCTTGGAAAACAGAAGTTATTTTAACAATATTTTGGTCTTCTATATAACAGTTACACTCAAAACAATTCCGTTATATGTGCATTTGCATTAACAGCCAAAGAACTGGAAACAGAAATTGGCACAGAACTCACAAAAGAACTGTCTTCTATGCGTGATAGACATCCTGTTGTGTGAAATTCTGACTTAGAAGAATATATAAATGCCACTCTTGAGGAATCTGGTGAAAACTTCAAGAATGCGGTTAGAAATAAGAATTATAAAGATATAGATGAAGGTTTCCGTCTATATTGTGAGAAAGTTCTTACTGACTTGTAGGTAGACATTAATATCTATTTGCCCATCAAAAAAAACTACTAAAAATTGCTTTTTCTTTAGTTATTATCTTGTAGATGTTATTCCTACTCTTGATAGAAAAATGAGCAAGGAAAAGCATATAGTTTATCAAGTATCAGCACTATTCAAATTTTATGAGAAGACGCTTCTAACCTTGGATATTGATTGGATTGAGCCTTACTCCCATCCGGTAATACTGATGAAGTTAGAATCAAATTCTGGCATTGTTCTAGTGGACGCAAAGGCGACAAGGTTTTCCGATAGGCTTGACGTTTGGCATTTAGAAGTCGCATGTCCTCCCTATAATGCACCCAATAAACATATTCTAGGTGATTCAAAGAAAACATTTCAAACAGATGTCCTAAATCTAATTACAATCTTGCGGGAACATCTTGATTGTGATATCAACCTTGCCACAAGGATAAAGGTCTTCAGTATGCTATTAATTAGTAAGTAGATTTATGGTTTGTTGGTTTTGTTAGTCACTGCAATGCGTAATAACCTGTTTTTATTTTTCAGATTTTCGATTAACGCTATATTCATTAAATATTCTTCCTAATGGACGTTTTCTGTCATGTGAACTTGCCACTGCCGTCATGCCCTTCAGTTCTAACGGACGGCATCAATATAAATCAGTTCTCAGAATGATGTCTATATTTCATGTAAGCTTGGTCTACTTTCTATATGATTATAATTTACTTTACAAAATCATAATCTGATGTATGTTTTTATAGGATGAATTAACTAAGCAGGATGAATTAACTAAGCAGGAAGAATTAACTAAGCAGGAAGAATTGTTAAAAGAAATCAACGAGTCAATACTTCGTTCTAAAAATGTTACAGTACGTCAAGTGTTAAAGATACCTGAATTAGATTTGATTTGATATTACAGATAAAGATTAATTATATAACGTAGAAAATGATTAATAAAATAAAAAACTGCAAGACGTTCGTTCTTTGAAATAAACTATAATATTTCGATAATATTCTTGTAACAAAAAAGAAAAAGATTTCGACCAATCAAAATTCTGAAGTCTCATAAAGTGAGAATACTTCTACTTATATACTAAAAATATTACAAATTTTTCAACTCAACGATAATATTACTTGTATAGAATTCGAAAATGAGAGCACAAATCGGAAACTTAGTGTTATCACTCCTTTGGGATGCTTTATCAAAATGCCCAAACTACTATAGAAAATCTTATTATTCGTTATGTTTTATTTAGTCATTGGACAACTAGCATCGGTGTATTAGTAAAAATAAGTAAATATTACACATTTTACATATTATATTTACCTAATTCAACCTTTGTTTGAAACAACGCGCGCAAAATCTTTTAAAATGTTCTTTTATTATACGATCCTTCTAAAATATAATACTTTGTTAATGATGCACTTTTTTTATTAAGTTATGGAATAATATAATGTATTTCGCGAAATAACGCGTATGCACTTGAAATAAAATAGTTTGACTCGTGTCAACTTGTGATTCATGAATTAAATTCGTAAAGTACACGAATCAATTGACCGAGTTAATTTATTCGAATTTTTATTCTAGTTATTCGAGTCCCATAAATTGTAATATTCTTATCGACCAAGGCAAGCTCATTTTTAAATTTTATTAATATATGTGTTTTAACTCGTGAGTTAATTTATAATTCGAATACTAGTTGACCTAAAGATAAAGCTTAAAACCCCACAATTATGAATTATATGGTGCCTGTTACAATGTTTACAATCGGTTGCAGCTAAATACATATAATACGCAAATAGAACTTTTTTATTTAGTTGCGGGACCGCAACTAAATCAAAACTTGAATTTCGGACACTGACTTGCACTTAAAAACGTGCGT